GGTGCCTCCAAGCTGGTGGTTCCTTGGCAGTAAATGTGATTATTCTTCCCAGCTGTGCCTGGTCCTAGAGTTGGATTTAAAACACCAAGGGAGAGAGCCCAGCCCTGGCCACCCAGCGATGAAACAAAACTGGGGAAAAAAAGAAAAAAAAAAGAGGAAACCACAGAAGGAACAAAGACGTAAATTCCCAGAACTCGCCGCGAGGAATTCCTCGCGGACTCGAGCCTGGCCGACTCCCAGGCGCTGGCCACGAGCAGGCACTGAGGGGCTGTGTTGGTCCTTGCAGTGCCAGACTCGTCACCCGCAGCCAGCGAGTCCCTGCCCGGCCCCAGACGAGGTGGACGGGAGTCGGTGGGTGCTGCCCTCCAGCATGTTGACAGACATGATGGGGAACCAAAACCAAAAACCGTGTCGCCCAAGGGCTAACGTCGCAGCCCTCCACAGGGATTGTGTCCCCGCCGGGCAGGGACACTCGGGCTGAGCAAGCAAGTCCCAGGACAGGTCCTGCTGTCCCTCCTGTGCAGCTGGATTTGGGCTGGCTGCCAGCCAGCTGCTGCCTGGGAATATGGGCCACGGCTGGGCTCGGTCCCGCGCCGCGCAGAGACAAGATGTTGCAACAAACCCATCGCATCTCTCCGTCGCTCTCCACAGGTCCCCGGAGCAGAGCAAAGCCTCGGCTGGGAGCGGGTCGGACAACTGTATCGAGCCGGTCTCTCCACCAGACGGCGTGGGAGAATCGGAGCACGCCAAGAGCACCACGTACCCGATCCTGTACCGGGAGGGCGAGCAGATGGACCAGAGGTAACGCCAAAGGAGGGGACGAGGGAGACAGTGTGGGAACGATTGCCCCATCCCTGCGCTTGCCCTGGCCCAGGCTGCTTTTCTTGCGGCCAAAATGTCACCTCTCAGGGTGCTGTCTGGTCGTAGGGGCTTTTTGACACCGTGCGCTACAATTACAGTAGAGAGAGGGGGAAAAGTTGGAGATCGCGAATGTCTCAGGAGCACCCAGGCTGATTCTGAGAAGTGACTCCAGGGGAAGAGTCTCTCTAGCTGGGACTGTGAGGGTGGCGAGACACTGGAACAGGTTGCCCAGAGAAGCTGTGGATGCCTCATCCTTGGGTGTGTTCAAGGCCAGGCTGGATGGGGCTTTGAGCAGCCAGGTCTAGTGGAAGGTGTCCCTGCCCATGGTGAGGGGTTGGAACTAGATGATTCCTTTCAACCCAAACTGGTCTGTCGTTCTGTGAATTTATGAACTGGATGTTGCAGAGATTTCCAGTGTTTTTTTGCTTTGCAGGATGGGGTCCAAGTCCCCAGGAAACAACACTCAGCCTCCTGCTTTCTTCAGCAAGCTGACTGAGAGCAACTCTGCCATGGTGAAGTCCAAGAAGCAGGAGATCATCAAGAAGCTCAGCACAACCAACAAAAATGAGACGGAGTACAGTAAGGACATGTGGGGAGACGAATGTGGGGCACCAGAGGGGAGGGAAGAGCCTTGAGGGCATATGAAGCAAAGGAGATTTGGGAATGGGTGCTGCTGTGTTGAGGGCTGGTGGGTTCCAGCCAGCTCTCTTTGCATTGTGCCCTGGTTTGCTGGGAAGTGCAAGGTCCAAATGCTTCCTGGCGTGAGCTGTGCTGGTGCCAGCAGTGTCTGGGTGCATCTAAAGAGGCTTCCTCAGCCCCACGTCTCCTTGCTCTGGGGCTGTCAATTCCACCTGTGCCAGATAACCTCGACAGGAAGGAAATAATGAGCTGAGCATGGAGGAGACTTAAGAGCAATTGATATTTTAATGAATGGCCAGCCAAGCTGAATCCTTCCTCCTTGAGATGCATCTCCCCGCAACGTTACTTTAAACCCTACATCAATATTGGTATAGCTCTGTAAAACTAACCAGGCTGGCTTATATTAGAAATTCAGCCCGTTCATTCATTAACCGCTAATAGAGTAGATAGGATCATAATTTAATTTAGCCCAGCATTATACAGTCAATACTAATTCAGTTTGAATCCATCTTACAACAGCTGCATCGGATAAGAGGGACTGAGCTGTCTCGTCTCCTGGATGATGTTACCATGAGCCAACAGTATTGTTATGCCCCTTTGGGGACATGTAGCTGAACCCCGTGACCTTCCACACTTTCCCTTATCAAGAGAAAATATATAGAAATAGGAAACGCCTCTTATTTGATGAGAATTTCTGTTATTCTAGGGAAAGCGATATCCAAGTAAAACAGCTCAGCCAAGAGGGAAAATATTGATTTAACATTTCTCCTCCTCCTCCTCGCCCTCCCCACTGCCCAAACCTGCTCCCTGGCTGTGGGGATCTGAGCCTTTGGAAATCCCGTAGGCAGGGGAGAGGGTTTGGCTACACGGAGCTTGTAATCCGAAGGGCTGGAGGGAGAGGAGTCTGCACCGAGCATGAAGACATTGCCTTGGCTCTCAGGGCTCTGCTTTTCTGCCCTTCTCCAGCCAGGGAGGGGCAGCTCGCTGTGGTTCTCCCGAACGATCCCAAAGGATCTCCCGAATTTATTCTCGATCCCAGGCAGCACCCACAGACCCACCCCAGTGCTGCCTGGGGCAAGTGGGCTGCGGTCAGGCTGGCTGCTGCAACAGGGACCCCGGGATCTTGTCGTGGCCGGCACGCCAGGTCCCACCCCACATGCTGCTCCCCGTACTGAAGAGCTCCTTTGTTTTTCTCCAGATGTTGGACAGCCTGGGACAGAGATTTTCAATATGCCGGCAATTACTGGAGCAGGTAACTCTTCCATATACCTGTGCCCCATTCCCTACAGGGCTCACAACCAAGGAGAGCAGGAATCTCTGTAGATTTAAGGACTGCTTGGACCTCTGCTGCTGTGCAGAGCGGGGAGCTCCCGGCGGGTGGAGGGTTTCAGGCTGATCGCCCAGTGCTGGGGGAGCGGTTGAGGTGGTGGTAGCTGAGCACTGCTGCAGGCAGCCCTGCTGGGCTTCCGTGAGTCCCCGGACCTAACCAGCGTTGGCCTGCCTAACCGGGGGCTCGCTGGCTAACACCTGGGGCTGCCGCAGCCCCCAAAGAGTCTCCCTGCTCTAGGTGCTGAGAAGGGCTCAGGGCGGCCTCCCAGACATCCGTAGAGATGTATTTGCTGTGGTGAGCCTGGGGACCACCACGCAGGAGCTGAAATGGTGGCTTCAGGAGCTTCCTGCTCTGCTGGGCCACGGCTTTAGCCCCGCTGGGAAAGCAGCAGAGGAGGGAGCAGCTTAAGGAGGGGATTTTGGCAAAGAGGGGTGGAAAACAGCTCCACAGAGTTGGGTGGTCAGGGCTTCCCCAGTGTGGGACAGAGACCAGCCCAAGGGAGAAAGACAGCGTGAAGGCTGTCACGCTGTTGTCAACTGATGCAGCAATGTCTAGGTGGGCTTGCAAATGAGTGAAATGAATCCTCGTTGAGGAGTATTATTTGACATTTAATTCATTAAACGCTAATGCTCTCCAAGTACCACATCTTACACGTATAAGACCACTCACTGGTGCAGATGTGTTTGGGAGAAGGAGCCGGCTTATGCTGGCAGCCGGGACAAGAGGATGCAGCCAGCTGGGACCCAAGGGTCCACAGCAGGCAAGAGTTGGGAGAGTGAAGCCCAACCTCCTGTGGGCATCCTGTGGTTAAAACTGCTCCTGCTGTGCTGGAGGGAGGTGTAAAGACAGAGTGGAGGGCCAGGGGGGACCAGGAGAGACCTTGCCCATTTACAGGCGGACAGGTGAACTGGGGACCCATCCCTCCCCGAGCAGAGGGGCATCGATCCCAGCGCGAACAGCCCCCAGGATGGGGTGGGCTGGGAGCCGAGCGGAGGCTGCCGGTGGGGCTTCCCTCGCCGCCCTGCTGTTTTTTGTGTCTATATTTTGCCCTTGCTTGTTACCTGTAACCGCCACACTGGGAATGATGGTGGCGTGGCTGAGCCTAGTGCCCTCTGGTCCCTGTGCGGTGGCTGCACCATAACTGCATGGCTTGAGACTCACAACCACGCGGACACACCACTTCGCCTCTGCATCCTGTCCCCCTGACACCCCTCCACCCAGGAGGGGTTCGCAGTGGGCACCCGGCCTGTGGGGAGGACGAGAGTGGGCTGGGGGCTACGGGCAGGGGGGTTTGCAAAGAGCGTGAGGAGGGACAAAAGGCCTCTCCCCTCTCTCCGGCGTGGCCCAGCCCCATGCGAGCAGCTCTGCAGGCTGCCCGCCCTCTTTCTCATCAAGTGGTTTTGTGGGGAGCCCCCTCTTCTTTCCCTGAGTTTTCCTCCATGGGAAACTGCCTCTAAATTTCCGGCACACCGACTTTTCATCCGTGTGGACCCCATACCCAGGTGACTCTGCTCCTGCCCCCGTGCTGAGCCTGGCTGGGTTGGGATCATGGCCCCTCTTCTTGCAGTTGCTCTCCCGGGCTCAGCAAAAACCCCTTAACTGCCCCCTCCATCATGCTACGGGTAACCCTG